TCCATGTACACTAGAACTGTAAGTCGAACACCCTAAAGGGATGGCCAACCAGCTCTGTCTGGCACTATACGGAGAGCTACTGTAACCTTCACCCAAACAATGGTCGGTGTCACCACAAATACATAGCCTGGTGTGTAGGGTCCTACAGTCCTACTCTAGGGTGTACACAGTGCTGACATATTAACACACAGCTGAGACTACTTGACAGTTCTACTAGAGATAAGCTCTGTAAAGGTCACTGAGGGAAAATGTCATCAAGTGTAGAAATACAAATATAATTCTGTATTCTTGTATAAATTATCCTACAAGGCCCTGTTTACCATAGCACGATGACACAATCATGTTAATTATAATGAGTCATTAATAACAGGTGTTTTTGTTTATTATCACTATTTTTTTTAGTAATGATGAAACACTGAACTTGGGACTGCCTTATAAGTCTTGAGTATGATATAGACACTAGAGGTGAATGTGTCTCTCCATGAAGTATTATAACGAGACTCCACATCTATAGGGAGCATATCTTGATTTGTTTGCCAATCGTGTAACACTGTTGCTTCTCCAATGCGGACTCACCACAAAACAGCTACTCGTCACGTCCACAAACTTGTGTAAAAATGGTAGCAACAAAGCTGTCCTCTCCAATCAAATTAACACTGGGGTGTTAGTGTAACGCACCAAGGTTTTGGGGCGTTGCGTTCCGTCTAATTCACCGACCAGCGGGAATCCTTAAAATTATACCGGCCGCTACCGGAAATAATCAACCGGGCTTCTGGGATAGAGCACTTTTGTTCCCGACTTCAGCCAGGTAAGCAGCATTTTTTCTGCTGTCTAAATCCAATGATTTAATTACTCTATGTCGCCCATCCTTCCAGAATTCGGGGTTGTAAACGTTTACTGAACATTTATTGTTAGGTTTTTGGTAGTATTTTTGTACTATGGCGTTAGTTTAATAGGGAAATAGCGAGGTGAACTTCGAGATATTTTTCCGGGAGACATGCCGGTCGTCATACCGTTTGAAGGAGAGATGTTATGCATTCTCCGCCCTTTATGTTCTGGGCATGCCGTGGGTGTGTCTATGAGCGGTAGGCTCCTCTAGCTCACATGAAGGCGTGTGGCGGAACGTGGAAGGGTTAACGGAAAAGCTATTGAGCGGAAGTGATAGCCGCATGTCCTCGTGCACGGGTTTGAGTTATCTCAAGGAGGGCTTTAGGATTAGTGATAAGGTAGCTTGCTCGAATATAGAGCGAGTACGAGTTATAGACAGGGTCGTGTTGTACTGAATATTTCCCTAAATTGTAGTGAAACTTGGAAACCCACCTGCCGCCACGTGTCTTGTTATATATACTGTTAAGTTTGAATGTACAATAAACGTGCGAAATCTATATCTGCCTAAGTTGTTTGTGTCACCGATCTCTGCTTCCTAAATACTATTTCATCCTTTATTTACAATCCATGGAACCTGCAAGCGAAAGCGGCAGTCGAACCCGAGTGTGTAGGTAACGTTTCGTTACATTATCATCTATGTAGATACCAACCACTGTTCAATCATTTTCATTGTATACAAACAATTCCATTGTAAGTACAGAACTTTCACTGAAACAATGTTGCAGTACATATAGAAGTCGTAGGTTCAGATATTGAAGGTCAAGCCAGCCTCCGAATCACTGGGTATATGTTGTGACTGATGTGGCTATCAAACAGATAATTCTGCTGCAGGTAATGTGTGTTGTCCCGTTTACTCCAGTAGACCAAGTAGTAGAAACACGTACCTACATGCTGTGTGGTAATCAAACCTTAGACCTTTGTATCATGACTAAAAAGAGTGTGTATCGTCATATATCTTATTAAGGATCCCTGTCCCAGTGTAAACAAAACACTAGAGAGTTCCACTGTATGTTTCTTTTTACATACAGTAACCTCCCTTACATTGTTTTGGATATAACTGTAGATCAACTTGGCCAGGATATACTTCCGTTGATCAGGTACTAGCTCAGTTGGTTAGACAGACAGTTTAATGATCTGGGGTCTGGGATCGAATCCTTGTCTGAGCCTGTTGTAATTTTTTCACTTAAAATTCTTGTTGAGTTTTTTCCCCATTTCTTTCCCCTTTTTCATAAAAGTCTCACAATATACGATTTTCTTTTCAGAAAACATTTATGAATGGTAGAAATAAAAGTTTCCAGCTTCCCTAAAACTTCATCAACAATAATGTCAGTGTATGGACATTTGAAATCCTGTCTGGACTGTGACCAAAATGTTTGTTATGGAGAGTTTTACATCTGTACTGTGTCATATTTTACACCTTTTTAAAATAGCAATATCTATTGATCTGCAAACAATTGTCTGATAATAATTCATGTATCACCAACCAAATTTACAGGTATCTATATAGTCACAGTCCTGGTAATCCTATGTTAAATTGAGTGTCCTTTTGGCTTCAGAACTTCAAGGAGAGAGTTATCATCTGTAATAAATACCTAAGAAAAGCATAAGTTATTTGCTCCATTTTGCTATGGGATTTGCACTACTTGGAAATTCTAATTTGAAATGAAGGGGATTATCAGCATCAACATTTGAAGGTTCTTTGTTGATAAAGGATATCCTTTCATTATCAAATCTAGTTTTTAATTTGGTGCACATACACAATTTTTCTTAATTTTTAGAACAGAAGAAATTAAAAATCCTCATTTGATAGGCACAATGCACTACATGTCTTCCCCAAGAACCTCCCTCTAATGTATAAACACAGCTAATGTTTTCACCGTCATTAAGACCCAACGTTTTAGACGTGTTCATTACATCTGTGTACAGTCTAGTTATCTGCCCAGTAATAGTCTTATACACATAGCGCTCCTACAACCATAAAAGCCATATTCTCACTGACCAACAGGAACTTTTAAACCGGTGTGAGAATTTGTGTGGACATGCCATTACATTTGACTACAATGACTCATTACAGTAAGGCTATCAGCATATTTACTTGCTAAACACTGGCTAGAATCACTCTGCCTTAAGTGATTACAATGCTAAATGTTACTGTACAATAAAAGAGGTGTATAACGCGATTCACACATATGTGTGCCAGTGTGTGAACACCAGAAATGATATTTTATACATTTGTAGTCTGTTAATAATCCTGTCAACAGTTTACAAGTACAGTACAGCAGAGGATAAGATAAAGTTAGTATAGTGATCGCCCTGTAATAGGATTTATAACATCGTACACACACCTCACTTCTACTGTTTAACATACTTATAGATTTTAATGTTTTTCTGTCACTTCAACTCAATACACAATCAGACCCAAGGCCACGTTTTGTTCACTTCATATATCAAGTAAAACCTCCAAATGTTGTTTTCGTTACAAGATGCCAATATTTAGATAATTCTAAGAGACTGAAATGCTAAATGATAGAAAAATAAAATTTTCTTTTTGTTTCTTCACAAAGAATGATGTTAAATGAGCATACTATCAAATTCAAAAGAGATTAAGGTGCAGGCGGGCTAGCAGTAGCTTATATATATAACACTATTTTTAGCTAAATCTAGCTGGCTAACCTATACCAGTATTTATGGAAAACTAAAAACAGTGTCTATAGCTAACTCTGGCTTGCTTATAACAGCATTTACAGCTAAATATGGCTCGCTTATAACAGTTTTTACAGCTAAATCTGGCTCATTATAACAGTTTTTACAGCTAAATCTGGCTCATTATCACAGTATTAATTTAATGAACTTGCAGTTGATATTGTATGCTATATACAATGTATAGCCTTAATGTAACAGAGATACAATAGCATCACCTAAGGTCTGGAGAGAGGTGTTATTTCAGGAGAAGTCAATTAACTTCATTCTTGAAGAGGATATTACTCAATCTTCCATCAGCACCTGCTTTACTGCCAATGTTTGGTTGAACCATTAAATAATAATATAATTCGCATAAAACCAAGATTCGAAAACTAAATTCTCAGAGTTATGGACGGAATAAATTGCCTGTGTGTAAGTTAATGTTATATTAAGTTTTGTGTACTTCTGACCAACTGTATACGTAATGCTATCAATCCTCGTCTCAGCTGGAGGTGAAATATAGGTCAGGCAAGGGAGATAATTACCGATAGATCTCCAGATACCTATGTATGGTATATACTGTACATGATAAACGTAGAACTAAGAGCAGCACACACTGTATGATAGAGGGGCCCACCTACTGTATAGGTAAAATGTATCCTATGACAGGGGGTACAGTTATTGTATGGTAATGGGGAAATGTTTTGAAACTGATGAGGTAATTGCAGCATGTCAAAGCATGAAAACACATTCTGTCTGTATACCAGCTGTGCTGAACAATACTCAGTACCTTTGTGAACTTTTGTGGACAACTCGTACACATTTTACCCCTTTGTGTGCATACGCTTCATTGGTCATTTGTCTGATGAAGGTGACGTTGTACATGTTGTACTAGTCATCAAAACGTCACATAGAACATTGTATTGGTTGTGTAAAAAGAACTTTTCATAATCCATACTTACCAACCTGAAGAAAATGTTTAGAAATATCTTTGAAAACTGTTTTTTGTCTTTAAAAGCATGATGCCTGACCAATATACTTTTTGTCCAACTTAATACTTTTATACTGTTTCGTTTCCTTTAAATTTTCTAGGGTAGCTGGTAAGGGAAGCTCAAGTCAGTTGTACACATATTGGCAGTATTCACAATTTTATAGTATTCACGAAAACTGCCAAACCTTTATGTAATATAGAACCGACACCTGTGGGATTAGTCCGATCTGTATCAATCACGGTGGGTGTTTATCAGGTAAGATACGGTACAGTCAACCTGTGGAAAGTCCAGAGTGGTCGCTCAACACAAGTGGTCTCTTAATACAGGTTCATTTCATAAAGAATAAATTACTCCAATGGGGAACTGTGATAGTAGTCTTTCAACACAGGTGGTCCGGTCCCTCAATTGAGGAGGTCGTATGTGATAGATAGTACTTACTTGGCAGCGATGAGGACTGCTTCTCCCTCAAGGTAACGTTGGTCATCTGTACTGCCGACTCCCGGGTCAGCTGGGGCGGCACCTTGTTAAGATCAGAACAGTTCATGGTTATCAACAGGTGACACACGGTACCAAACACATCTCAATAGCATTGTAATATGATAAGTTTACAATCACTTCATCAATTCCTTGGAATATTGTGGACAAACACAAACAATTACTTGTCAATATAGTATACCATGCCAAGTATACAACTAAATGTCGTAATCTACATCCTGTTAAACATTTCAGACAGTTATGTAATTGTGGCCATCTACATGAAACATGAAGCACTTTCGTGTGAAGAAATTTTATCAGCACATCAGTATTCCCTTGTGTGTGAAACTTGATATAAAAATGTCTGTGAGCATGTTATGTTGTTCCTCATCAAACAGAATGTAATGCAAAAAAGAAATTCCCATGTGAATTAGCATCGACTCCGTGAGTCAGGTCATGAACGGGATATGTATAACATTTCTATATCACAAACACTTCACCATCACGACCACCAGGACCAGTTGTATCAGCCACACAAACTCACACTGTATATTACTCGTTCCAGGAAGAACTTTTACGGAGTCAGTCAGTAAATGAATATGTAAATCTGAATTTAAGATGAATTTTCTGAGTATTCCACACAAGTACTGCTCAATATGTATACTTTCTAGAAGTACAGATTTCCCACAGCTTATGTTAATAGTCCTCGAAAAGACAATCTGTGGTCCCAGTCACTACTGTTATAGTCCTGAACAAGATAATCTGTGGTCCCACTCACTACTGTTAACCAGCCTCACCAGTGCAGCACACTTGCAATGGTGTCCTTATCTAAACCTCACACTTCCTGTTGACCTGGGAGATAAAACAAACTCAATATCACATGCTTTAGGATTTTTCCTGACCTTACTCCAAGATTTTTTTTATCAATAAACACAGTTTGTTACTAGATCACACTAAAAATAGACATTTCGTCAAGATAAGGCAGTCTAAGAGAAGGAATATGATTGGTTGGTTTGGATGTTAGGACATCTCTGACTGGTGTATGCTGTACCCCCTGCCCCGGGGTGATGGAAACTCCTCCTCCTCCTCAGCATTGATCCCATATCACCACAGCCATCAAGGCCATAAAACCAACAAAGCCACCATATTTATCATCGAAGCAGCACCAATATCTGGTGGAATACAAGTGTAAAAGTAGTACAACCCTTTCATCTGGGCCCACACATTCAGACTGGGTCTGGCTGATCCTAGTCTGAAAAGGGATCAGTCTGTTGGCATAGTAACTGATACAGGAGAATTGGGACAGATCTTAATGACTCCACTTTCTAATTTCATTTAACAACCTATGAATATCTCAATTAACCCTAAAGAGCTGATAACAAGAGGAGAGTGGGGCTAAAGGGGTTTTTTGATCAGGAATAGGGAGAAATGGGGAAAGGACGGGAGGAGAATTGATAAGGGATTGGTACAGGGAAGGTCAATAGCAAGTGTGGTGGACAGGAGTTGGTGGGAGATCAGATGGGAGGGAGTCAATAAGGAGTGTGCCATTGAATAGATGGTGTGAGGGATAAGGGGTGATTGGATAAGGGGTTTATGGTGAGTAGATGGTAGAGGGAAGGGATAAAGTCACTACCACCTATTATAAGGTGTGAGCAAAGGGACAAAGTCAATATTATATAACAGGAAAGAGAATAGTGTGCTTCCACCAAGGATTGAACCTGCAACCCCTAGGTTCCTAGTCATATGCTCTAACACACTGAGCTGCGGATCAGAAAAGTACTATGCAAGTTATATAGGGAATTCCAGGAGTGATACAGATGTCCCTTATTCCTGTTCTGATACCATACCTAAGTTCCAGGATTACCGACCACAAAGCTATGTGAAATCCTGGAACAAATACTATTCCCAGTATATTGGTACTATTCTCAGAAACAGGAAGTCGCTCAGTGCAGAATGCCTGATTATGAAAACATGTCCATCACTGTACGTGTTTACATCACAGTGTATAAGGTACAACAACTACACATCAACACATTTCCCACATACCAGCTACTAACAGTCCCTTACAGTCTCACCACACTGTACCCCGGCTTACTTCATAAACAAGTTCCCACTTTTCTTAGGTAACTTACCAAAACTGAACTTGAGAGGTCATGACCTTGTCTGATTTGACCTCCGTTGACTTTGCCTAATTATAAAGATATGAAGACTTACAATGTAACATTTTGCTATCTTCAGCCTCCCATACATTCCTCTGTCTAGCTCACTATGTTGACTTGTCAGGTATTCCCCATGTCTACCACCCTAGAAATGTTCCCCAACACGAAACATGTTCTTTCTACAACTGTTCTGTACTTAATGAGCTTGTCATCCTATCAAATCACCACTTACAATTACAGAGATCCTAAAATAACTTGTTTACACCAGTTTCAATTTACCCAAACTTTCAAATACCACCAACCTTGAGTTTGTGGTATACCAGCGAACACTAGTGTCATTTTAATGACGAAAACAAGATTTTTTGTGTACTTGACTGTCGAATTGTTGAAACATGTTAGATTATAATTTTTGTATGCACTTTATTTTGTTTCCTTATATACTTCCTGATCCTCATTGATTAAGGAAGTATTCCAAGGCACTTTCTATTTCCTGTATTGAAAGTGTTCCTTTATTTTATTTCTTTGCAGGGTGGAAACATTTTTCAAACAAACACAAAACCACGAAAAAGTGTATTCACATTTTTACAAGGAAAGAGATAAATTCACCTACAGGTCATACAGTCAAGGTCACATCAGGCAGCCCCTCTGATACTAATTGATAGGTCAAACAGTCAAGGTCACATCAGGTATACCCTCTAGTATCAATCTAGAGGTCAAACAGTCAAGGTCACATGAAAAAAACCTATCTTTTGCACCTGAAGTAATGCATATTTTGATTTTTAAATGTATCGGATATGGACTTATAGGCCATAAGTGTGCGTCTATTGGAAATCGTAGTACTTTAAATTGTAATAAAGCCATGATATTTTTATACAGGTCAAACAGTCAAGGTCACATTGGTAACCCTCTGGTAATGATTATTAACAGTGAACGTTCCAATAGAAGTCCTAGTATATTGTTGTGGTGTTTGTCCTAGTATATCGTTGTGGTGTTTGTCCTAGTATAATGTGGTGTTTGTCCTAGTATAATGTTTTGGTGTTTGTCCTAGTATATCGTTGTGGTGTTTGTCCTAGTATATTGTTGTGGTGTTTGGTCTTAGTATATTGTTGTGGTGTTTGTCCTTGTATATTGTTGTGGTGTTTGTCCTAGTATATTGTTGTGGTGTTTGTCCTAGTATATGGTTGTGGTGTTTGTCCTAGTATATTGTTGTGGTGTTTGTCTTAGTATATGGTTGTGGTGTTTGACCTAGTATATTGTTTGTCCTAGTATATTGTTGTGGTGTTTGTCTTAGTATATGGTTGTGGTGTTTGACCTAGTATATTGTTTGTCCTAGTATATTGTTGTGGTGTTTGTACTAGTATATTATTGCGGTGTTTGTCCTAGTATAATGTTGTGGTGTTTGTACTAATATATTATTGTGGTGTTTGTCCTAGTATAATGTTGTGGTGTTTGTCCTATTATATTGTTTGTCCTATTATATTGTTGTGGTGTTTGTCTTAGTATATTGTTGTGGTGTTTGACCTAGTATATTGTTTGTCCTAGTATATGGTTGTGGTGTTTGTCCTAGTATATTGTTGTGGTGTTTGTCTTAGTATATGGTTGTGGTATTTGTCCTGGTGTTTGTCCTAGTATATGGTTGTGGTGTTTGTCCTAGTATATTGTTTGTCCTAGTATATTGTTGTGGTGTTTGTCTTAGTATATTGTTGTGGTGTTTGACCTAGTATATTGTTTGTCCTAGTATATTGTTGTGGTGTTTGTCCTAGTATATGGTTGTGATGTTTGTCTTAGTATAATGTTCTGATGTTTGTCCTAGTATAATGTTGTGGTGTTTGTCCTAGTATAATGTCGTGGTGTTTGTCCTAGTATATTGTTGTGGTGTTTGTACTAGTATATTATTGTGGTGTTTGTCCTAGTATAATGTTGTGGTGTTTGTCCTAGTATATTGTTGTGGTGTTTGTACTGATGTTATCAGACCTCAGACTGATTCCTTGTACAAGTCTCACCACACCTGTGACAGAACACAGCTTAAAGGTCACTAATCATCCATATCTCTAACAAGTTTTTTAAATCATTAAATAAGACAAGGATCTAACTTCATTCAAGCCAAAGTCTACCATATTTACCAGTGATAGGTACACTTATGTGGACTGAAGGTCAAGGAGGGATTTATTTGTTTAAAGCTTTTGACAAACACCAACAAACACCATGTTATATTTGGGTCATGAAGTACAATAATTGGTCAGCTTGCCAGTGCATGTTTTATATTAAAACAAAGATTATGCTTGCTTTCATTATATTGGTTATAGGACTGATGTTAATTTAACTTAGCTGGAGTCATTCATCTTCAAAAAATTAAGTTCTTATTATTGAAATATCACAGTATAAAATTCCTGACAACATTTGCAAGCTAACCAGGCTGATGAGTATGACTGTGATGACAGATTGGTTTGTAATTATCTAAGACATTGTGTGCATCAAGTCTATAGCTTTGTCGAGATTAAATTTCAACAAGTTGATCACATGTAGGTGTATGGGTTACCTATCTATGTGAGTCACACTGCCATTGTTGGTCAATAGGACAAAACACACTTATCTGATCAAAAACAAATCTTCCAATGGTTAAATAATGGTGGAGGTTTAATTTGTTTGGTTCACTTGATTAAATATCTACAGTTAGTTCTTTAACACAAATATTTACTGTTTTGTCTCTTAAAACTGTATTTCAATCATTTCATGTTTGCTATAATCTAACATTTACAAAAAAATGGTCGATATGTAAAAGTTCTAGCATTGTGCTATATACGATGCGTTGATAAGGTAATAAAATCATTAAAATTTCGAAGAAAGGATTAGCACCTATTTAAAACATTTGTACTTTATAGATACAGAAAGCCAAGTGTAGTAAACATTTTACAATTTTTTTTAACATTCCTGTAGTGTTTACCAAACTGTTTGTGAGTCACAGGTAAGGTCCCCCACACTGCCCCCTACAGGTAACACCAATAAGAGTTGCTGGGTGTAAATATCCCTATAAAATGTTTTTACACAATTTAACTTCAGCATACAAATTACAAAGGGAGATAATTCATTTTAAAAAATTGATGTGTTTACAAGTGTAGGGGCAGGTTGAGATTTAATGGAAGTTTTATTGGGTAATCACTACCTAAGTACACAAGCCTCTCTCCCTCACCTCTGTGTGCACACTAAACTGGTGATGAAACATCAGACATGTTTCTCACTGGACTGTTCCCCAAGGTTATCTGTCCCAGTACAAAGAGGTCATAAACCTCCCAGGATAATCCTTTAATCTGCCCTAATCACTGTCGATTATACTGGTCACAGTCACAACTATGTCTATTTCATCAATACACATCCCCCTCAAAGGCAACACCAACCAATAAACATTCTCCTACCAGGTTCTGGTCTCCAAGGAATCTTTGTTAGGCCTCAGCAAGCCCCCCACACACCCCAAATCTGTTTGGGGTGATAAAAATTATACAACACCTTGGCTTCATATTCGTATAGCCATGACCCCAGGAGGCTTTGTATCAAGTGCAATAAATATCATATAACATTTTCATACTGGTCATGACCTCAGGTAATAGGTGAACATTATTACCAATATAACACTGTCATAATGGTCCTAACATTTACTGATAGCCACCTCAACTAATCACATGATATTGGCATTTTCCCCAGCAATAATTAGTCATATGTATAATCAGCTGGTAGATTGTACTTTGTCTGAAACTGTTTACATCTCATTGTTAATTTGTGAATAGGGTACAACTGTTTGTGATCTATGTGATTGTATAACAGGTAAATAACAGGTGATTATATGACATTTCTATATTATTTAACATAAAGGTATATTTATAAGGTGATTTTAAAGGTAATGTCATATGATGTCTTCATGTTTAATTAGATGCTATGTTAGTTGTGATTTGAGCATTATTTCCAGATATTTTGTGATCATTACAAATTTGAATAGGACATGAATAAAGCACCATAACCTCTGGTAAAATTTGACCGTTTTTTTTTTACATAAACCTTACCTCATCCTTCCAACCAAACAGGATGTCCACGGGCCGATGAAGGTTGTAAGATCGTGTCCTTTTCATACAGTTTAAATCATTAATTTCCAGTGTAAATTATTATAATGCACATTACTTACACACTAAACATTTCTATCTAAATGAGTTTGACAAAGTTATTTTTTCTCAGGTGTCAAACCTGGCTAGTCGCCCCTGCCTGCTGATTGAGGTCTATGTCCTACTTATAAGGTTTATCTGTTACAGAAGCAACTCCTAGCTGAATCACAGGTATGTAATGCTTGTCACACTCCTTGATAGTTTCCCCATCAAACACATGGCCCCCGGGAGGATCCCTGTACAAGGTGGTCAGCACGTGATTATATATCTACAGTCATCAGTATCTCAAACTGCACACAAAAATAACACATCAACATCCTCCTGTAGGAAACCGATTGAACGGAACATGGAAGCACATGTAGATAAACCCAACCGTCTGTCGCACAGACTTAGGACATCATTAATCCGACCTCTGAAGAATTGAGGACTGACAACACAGGGAAGACTAACACCTTCACAACCCGTCACCATAAAAACCAGCACAAATGGCACACTCAGAAGAATTATTGATGAGAACAAACAAATCAGGAAAATCAAGGATTTATCCCACACTTGTATGTTTTTCTCTGCTACAGTATAAAACTAATCCAAAACATCCCAGAACTAAAACAAACAAAATTAAATAATTTGCTCGGATGAAAATAAACATACCTTTTTCGCTTTTTTAGAAGATTTTCTTGTAAACAATCTCATTTTTTCATTGAAAATACTATTTTTTTTCTCTCCAAAGAAAATACTGCTTACATCACGTGTCACAGGTATTGTACTGGTGTTGAGGTGTAACAGGTAGGTAATGTAGCGGTGAGATTGTGGGAGATTAAATTAGGTGTGGGGATGATGGGGAATGATCTTTCACCTGCTGTTAATTAATACCCTTTTCTGTGATATCATAACAACCGTTAACACTATCACAAGCCCAGCAGTAACCCTGAACACCAGTACAAGCCCATTTGTAACCCTGATCATCGTCATTCATTGACGAAGACTTTACCGCATCATTTGTTTTTATTTTTTTGCACCTAAAAAGTTTGTAAACAAGAAGCTTAACCAATCACATCATTGTAAACAACAAACCTACCCAATCACACGTTTACAAAACAAACTGACTCGTCGTATAACTTCTGTTTTGAATTAAGATTTTGGATGGATTATTGGAGCTTAATTTAATACACGAAGAATTTGATTAGACATTTCAACCTGACCCAAATAACATTAGCTACAGCAAGAACCACTTTTCGATAAACAATTGTGAAGTGGCAACAAACGAATGAACTCCAGGTCTATACCTGCCTGGAGAGGCTTGCGAGTGGTATCTATATAATGTGTATTTAATAGGCCTGCAATCTGTTATCAGTATCACCTATCATGTCTACTAAACAACCACCAGATTGACCTTCCACTTGACCTCTAGAGTGACCTTGAGGTCAATGGTTGAGAACAAAAGGCTGTAAACAATGAAAGGCTATCGCAAAGGAGTGTACATTTTTTTTATTAGCAGACATTTTGTTTAATGAGACGTTAAACTTGGTGCCAATTAACTACCAATCGTTTCCATGTCATCCATAGCAAAACCTCCATCTGGAGAAAGTCAAGGTCATTCGTGATAAAAAAGACAAATTCTATTAAAACAGAAATCTTCCATTATCCCTGGTAAAGCAGTTAAGGTCATGCAAACCTACACTTTCCATTAACTTCACACCTTCATAATCTAGTCTACGTAGCTGTATAAACAGCTTTACCTACATGAACAGTTAGAATTCAGTAGATGCCCAGTGCAAAATTAGAAGGAAATAGAAGGAAATTACATAAAACATAATACATGCAGAAAATAAAGCTTGATCAGACATATACTTCCTAATGGAATACTGTTACATACAGAAGGTAGAACAGACAGATTCTCCCTAGTGGAACATTTCCCCGTTATAACACTGTTACATTGGTATGGGTGAGGTCTACATTCTACTTGGGCAGTAAAACGAGATTTGCTGGAGAACGCTGACTATACATGTAAAACCTTAGGTATATTATAATTACCCTTACAAAACTTGAGAAATATCAATTTCACCCACATAAAAAGGAACTCCGCCCTGGCCCAAGTATGCCAATAAACTATTTATAGGACCACTAGGTCACTTTTATGCACTTTGCTATTCAATTTATAGAAACATTATTGAGAATTAGAAATCATGACTAAATTTTACGATGGGTATCTGGGGGAGGTAGAGCAGCAGTTTAGAAGTTGTGTATTGATCTTCAGTTTAATATTATGGCTCCACATGTTTGTAGACGAAATCACCAGCAGAAACAGGTGGAGATACCTGCTATCAGTCTTACCTTTGGAATTCGGTTCTTATCACAGGGAGTTATCTGCTCTTTGCAGGAGTTCTCATGAACATTTACAAGGCAATCTGAAACACAGAAAACATAACTGATCAACGAAATGGGAATATTCTTTTTCCACAGAACATCTCTAGTAATGGTACCTTATCAATAAATAGCATCAGTCTCATTAGCAAAGCAAATTATTTTTGGAATGGAATGTTGGGTTGTTAAAATTAAGAACCTCTTGTATATCAAATATGTGAAATTTTATCTAGTTCTAGTACATTTAGCATGAATTGAGTATTGAAACGGTTATGATGTTACTGTTTATAAATTATAATCAAAAGGTTTTCAGAAAGAGGTTCAGTTTAATTGAAAACATGATATAATTGATCTCATAGGACAGAGAGTTAAACATTCTAAATGTTACTTATAAAACCACATCATGCTATACGCAGGTGAACTGAGACATGTACATTGAAAAGGATTTTTGTAAAAGATGATTTTTAATCAGAGTGGTTTCTCTAGGTGGGATAAGTGTAGAAATATACTTACTTTCACAGCGCACGGCAGGTTTGTTGGCCATGGACTTGCGACACACATGACAGGCGGTGGAGTTACTAAAGGACACAGACACAAACTGGTGGGTAGACTTGCCCTTGTTCTCTTTCTCTTTGTGCTGTGGAAACAAAATCAAGGCAAGGTCATTACTGAACAAGAAGTAATTGTAATGGGGGACCATTACTGAAGTCCCCCAAACTGCCTCCATAGTCGCAAAGATGCATCAGACTTAATTCGACCAATCAGAAGCCTCCGTGTGGTTGCTATGGCAATAAAAGATATGCGGTTGAACTCGTAGTCCCCAAATACCCCTATATAACAATTTCCATAAAAATTGAACAACATCTAAATTTTGACCAATCAGAAACCTCCAAGTGGTTGCTATGGCAACGATCTGATCTGAAAATAAAGACTTGAATGCACAACTAAATATGCCCATTATTAATCATGTGAAGTTTCATCAAGATATGCCAAGATACATAAATATGGTAAGTTTGGTCAACATAGGTGAAATAACATGGCTCTGGACAAACTTTGGTATTAAAATAAACAAAGGGCAACAACTCTGTATATAGCGGGGCACGAGACCTAATTCCAGTGCACTGCACACTTTCTGTGGGTGATGCAGGTATACTTCAATGTTGATTAAGATATCTTTAACGGTCTAGAAGTTATACCGTGGACAAACTTCGGTATTGAAAATAAACAAAGGGTCATAACTCTGTACATTTAGTGGGCCACAAAATCTGATTTCAGTGCGAGAGATTCCGCCTTCCCAAGATACATAAATATGGTAAATTTGGTCAACGTAGGTGATATAACATATAACAAATGCTCGTGGACAAACTTTGGTATTGAAAATAAACAAAGGGCCATAACTCTGTATATAGTGAAGCACGAGACCTAATTCTAGTGCATTGCACACCTTCTGTGGATGACCCAAGTATACTTCAAGTTTGATCAAGATATCCTTAATGGTTTAAAGTTAATGGGCCCAGACAAGAGTTAACACAATATGTCCCCCCATGCTGTTTAAGGGACATAATTATACAGTTCAGATGTGGATGTCATTATCAACACGGTTGTGAAGGTCATGATCAATATGGAGGTGAAGGTCATGATCAACACGGAGGTGAAGGTTGATTATTACCAACAGGAAGGTGAAGGTCATTACCAACATGGAGGTGAAGGTAATTGATCAACAGCGAGGTGAAGGTCATTACTAACATGGAGGTGAAGGTCATTGATCAACAGGGAGGTGAAGGTCGATCATTACCAACAGAAAGGTGAAGGTAATTATCAACACAGAGGTGAAGGTCATCAACAACAGGGAGGTGAAGGTCATTATCAACACAGAGGTGAAGGTCATTATCAGTAGGGAGGTGAAGGTCATGATCAATATGGAGATGAAGGTCATTATCAACAGGGAGATGAAGGTCGATCATTACTAATATGGAGATGAAGGTCATTATCAACAAGGCGGTGAAGGTTAATTATTACCAACAGGAAGGTGAAGGTCATTACTAACATGGAGATGAAGGTCATTGATAAACAGGGAGCTGAAGGTCATTACCAACATCGAGGTGAAGGTCATTGATCAACAGGGAGGTGAAGGTCGATCATTACCAACAAGAAGGTGAAGGTCATTATCAACACAGGTAAAGGTCATCAACAACAGGAAGGTGAAGGTCATTATCAACACAGAGGTAAAGATCATTATCAACAGGGAAGTGAAGGTCGATCATTACCAACAGGAAGGTGAAGGTCATTACTATCATCGTCATTACCAAGATGTACCAAATACATCATGTCCATTTTATGTAAATAACCCTCCTTACTTTGTCTTAACAGACCTACTTACACAGTATATATTTAGTAGCCACTACCTTACTTTGATTATTACACTACAGCCAAACATCCTTGTGTTTATATACTTGCTGGCTGTGTATAGTGACACCATTTCAATCATGCGGCTATAAACAGATACCAATCATTACAGGTGTACTGCCATTGACAAACAGGCTAAACTGTAAGTATAGGACAATGCTATAAGAAATGTCCTCCTAAAGGAAACTAAATGTATTTCCAGGAAGCAGTGGAGTGACCCCAATCTTCAGCACTTCCAGTCCTAGTCACAGGCCAACCACTAAGCACTCTGTCTATTACAAAACATTACCAAAATTATAAATTAAACAAAGTGCCAAAAGAAAAGATTAAAAACTAACTAATATGAAGCTGACTGTAGCAATATTTACATTTAGTTTGTTTTGGACAGGTACACTGCCCTGAGCACCGAGATAGAATCAGCCTCGGGAAATCTCGGTCAGTTGGGGAAGACAACACCCTAACAGAATATAAACTAAACTTTTTACAGACTGACAATAGCTGTTAACTGTAGCAATTTGCATCCTTGCCAATTCAGACAGCCTGATAAAAACATCTTACATCACTCCAAGATGGAACTGTTGTGCCAATCAAAACCAGATTACTTATCTGTAGTTTGTTAGAAACAAGATTTATAAACTTAAATGTAAGTTTGTATTACTAAAAACCTAACCCCAGAATCTTCCAGCATCTCAATTGGAAGTGTTATAATTTTATAGGGAGTAGTACTAAATATCCATCAACCTGTCAATACTGGTGTAGTTTACATATAAACAAACATCTGTATGACACAGATCATGTAAGATGATAGCGGGTCTGGCTAACTCTTTTTTCTAGATATCCAATATCAGTCCTATATTTTTTTTCATTTTTTTTTTATTTCATTTTTTTCATTTTATTTCATAACACCAGTGGCAACTTCCTGAATATATCAATCCTACCATTATTGGATATAATTTAACATTAGCTTGAACACTGATAGGTCAGCAAAGGCCCAATAGGGCCCTGATTGATACACATAACATAATACTGAAGACTTCGCCACAGAACATCCACACAATGGCCAACCCAAGAGGTAGGCAACAATTTTGCGTCTATCACCGAGAATTAAACCAATATCTACCAACACAGTGGCAAGCTCATTTTCTTCAAATCTAACTATAAGAAAAAGTTCTTCTTAAAAGGAAGACAAAGCATACAGCAGAAGCTTGGTTCACATTCTAGATAAACAAGGTATCAAGTTCTCATTCTATATGACCAAATGAATCCACTTCATGTGTCAGATGAATTAGTTAATCGATGCCAGTTCATAATAGATGGTGGAATTAATCAGTTCACATTCTTAATGACCATGTTGATCTGGTCCATGTTCTAGATAACAGAGTTTATCCTGTTCATGTACCTGATGACTGAATTCATCTGGTTCAAAGTTAATCCAGTTCTCATAACAGAGTATCAAGTTAAGCTTGTTCATATTCAAGATAACTGAGTTAGGATCTTCTTTCAAGGTTCCATTGTAAACCAAAATATTGCCGTTGGACTATATAGTTCAATGATGTAAGCTTCTTTACCTATTGTTCCTGTAAGTTGTGTTGGAGTTATCCCCCATTTAGCACCTTTCAATACAAATCTCTCAATATATACTGATATCAATGCATTTATTTCTAAGAGCCATTATCATGTGTCCTCAATATGTTTATGACAAAGTTCAAAAGACATTTAACAGGCTTCCATGTGTAGAAAGGAGATGTGTCACAGCAAGCTATCATACAATCCTAAGTCTGTATGTCACAATAAGGTAGCATACTACCTTAAGTCTGCATGTCACAGTGAGGTAGCATACTACCTTAAGTCTGTCTGTCACAGTAAGGTATCATACTACCTTAAGTCGATCTGCATATCACAATAAGGTAGCATACTACATTAAGTCTGCATGTCACAGTCAGGTAGCATACTACCTTGAGTCTGCATGTCACAGTTAGGTAGCATACTACCTTGAGTCTGCATGTCACAGTCAGGTAGCATACTACCTTGAGTCTGCATGTCACAGTGAGGTAGCATAGTACATTAAGTCTGCATGTCCCAATAAGGTAGCATACTCCCTTAAGTCTGCATATCAGAGTAAGGTAGCATACTACCTTGAGTCTGCATGTCACAGTGAGGGAGCATACTACCTTAAGTCTGCATGGCACAGTAAGGTAGCATATTACCTTACGTCTGCATATCACAATAAGGTAGCATTCTACCTTAAGTCTGCATGTCACAATAAGGTAGCATGCTACCTTAAGTCTGCATGTCACAGTGAAGTAGCATACTACCTTAAGTCTGCATGTCACAATAAGGTTGCATTAAAACTATAACATCAGGGGCCATATGTTACAACAAATATAGTTCTTGTTATTTAAACTTCAGAAATATCAATATTTCAACATGTTTAGAGACTCATCGACTGCGTGATGAACATGATTTTGTTTAACACAATCCAAGATCAAAATACAATATTTTTACTCTTAGGAGAAAATCAGTCAGATATTAATTGAAACAGGATTATAAACCAAGTTAGAACAAAAGTAAATCAATCAATTTACATGAGAGTTAGATTTTCATGATAATTCATGAGGAGACCTATTAATAAATTTGAATCTTCTTTAAATATTTATTCCATAAATAGTTATGATCACTTACAAATTCTAGTATTCTAGAATCTTAGACATTCCTGGTAAACAAAGTACATGTCAAAATGAAAGATTTACAGTAATAAAATATTTGGCTGAGCAGTATAAAACCAAATGATTTACCATAAAACCATTTTACAAATATCTTTACAAGTTATAAGGAAGTGTGGGAGTACACCCCTTCCCGTGTGATGGGGATGGAAAGGACACTTACCACCATAATCCCAGGCAGTCCCTTAGACATTTGGTTGTGAATGGCCATAAGGAACATGATGAGGTGGTTCCTACATGGGGGCCTTATCTTATCTCCCCATCCAAGTTGCTGCCTCTTAGGATTTGGTCTCTATCAGTAAAATGCTTGTAAAGTATATGTTTCCTATGGTCTTATCGCCTCTCCAGTTTCCCCCCCAAAGACAGGCTCCAGTATTGATTCCTGTATGTGGCTTAGCTCGGTCTCCTGATGTCTTCCCAAAAAGCAACACCACGTTACACAATTATCCACAATACCTCAGCACAGCTGATATCTCCAGCATTGATAGTCTCATTCTAAGATAAAATG